CCCATGGGCTTCTTCGGCGGCCCCGGCAAGAACAAGGGGAAGCTCACCCCTGACAGTTCCTACTCCGTCGTCGCCAGCGCCTGCCCGCCCTGCCGGGGAACGACTGCACATTCTGGTGCACCAGGCGCGATGGCACTGCTAGTACAGGCAGCTGCTGTCGTAACTGGATGTGACCGTACCGCACGACTGTCATCTGGATCCGCATCGGATCTCGGTGCCGCGGTCGCAGCGGGCACATGCGGTGGAGATGCGCAGGCGGCGGGAGCTACTCATGTCGGAGCAGCGTCAGATACCGGAGGAGCAACGGCGCCGCAGCATCCAACACCACGACACCAACCCCCGCCGCCCCCAGTCGTCAAGCAGGAGGAGGAGGCTGCCTACCAGGCGGTGTTTGCAACAGCCATGCAGACCTCCATTAAGGAGGAGCGACGCAAGGCGGAGGCGGACTACCAGCCGCAGCTGGCGGAGGCCCTCGCCCTCTCTGCCGCAAGTAGCATGAAAAAAACAAAAAAAAATCCACCAAAAATATAAACGTGCCAATAAAGCTGATAAAACAATAACAAATAAAAATAGAAACTTTATCACATGTCTATATATATATATATATATATATATATATATATATATATGTATGTATGTATGTATGTATATATATTAGAAACTTTAACACATGTCTGCTTGAACATGTTGGCTAAAAGAAAAAAAATGAAACGGAACGATACCAATACCAATAAAATCATTTTTTTTAGTATGAGTTCATTTCCATTTTAGAATGTTGCTCATATGTATTAATTAATACTCCATCCGTTTCTATATATTAGTCTTTTCAAGATTTTAATATGAACTATATACGGATATATATAGACATATTTTAGAGTATAGATTCACTTATTTTGTTTCGTATGTAGTTCATATTGAAATGTTTAAAAAAGACTTATATTTAGGAACGGAGGGAGTAGGTAATTAGTCTTTTGAGACAATAACAGTAAATTAGTATTTCATAGGAGAAATAGTTTTTTTAGACAAGGGAAATAGTTTTCTTAAGAGTTGGGAAGTACGTAGTTAATTAGTTTTTTAGCAAAAAAGAAAATAGTTAATTGTTGACCTGTGCTGCCGCGTGATGCGTTAGGAGGCCTTTCTGGCCCATATGTGCACGCTCTTGCGTAAGAAGGCACGGCACTCTGCCATGCCCAGCGGCACGGTAGAGGAGCCGGTTCCGTGGCGCAGGATGGAGGGGAAAGTATAGTGCTCCCAGGCCTAGGGTGCTCCCGGTGCTCCGATGCGAAAAACATTTTTTAAAATGTTTAAAAAATTCTGAAAAATGCAGCACATCGACGGAACATTGATGTCTTTTATCACAAAATTTCAAATCAAAATTCAAAACATTGCTCGAGATACAAAAATGACAAATTTAACATCAATGTGATAATGGGCCAAAACTAAAGTCCAACTTATGTTATGTACACAAATTTATTATTTTTGTATCTCAAGCAATGTTTCAAATTTTGATTTGAAATTTTGTGACAAGAGATATTGATGTTCCGTCGATGTGCTGCATTTTTTTCAGAATTTTTTGAACATTCTAAAAATATTTTTCGGACATTTGAAGCACCGGAGCATCCCAAGCCTAGAAGCACTAGATATTTTCCCCAGGATGGAGTTACGCACCTGGGCGGCGGCGTTTCATTGTGACCTAATGTGTGGAGCAATCGCACAGAAGAGAGTGAGAGTGAGAGAGCAGATGGCCCGGCCCAATTCGGCATTTCATTTTTGGGAAGCTTCTACCCCAGTTTTTTTTTTGGTTGTAGGAGGTTCTCGAAGGGTTTAGTTTCGTTTTTCTTGGGGGTTTTCGTTTTTGTCCTTTTAGAAGAAAAAAATCCTATTTCTGGAAAATGTTCACGTTTTATAAAATAAAAATCCATATTTTCGAAAATTTTAAATAAAAAATAAAAAAAGATATTAGAAAAATGTTCACAACAGTTTTAAAAAATGTTCAAGTTATCTAGAAAATGATCACAAACGTTTAATTGTCTTTCAAAAGATTCAACAAAATTTTAGAAAGTGTTCAATTCATGAAATAATTTTTTTGTATTTTCTGGGAAATCGGTGAAAACAGAAAAATGCCACTCCCTCCTTCCATCTATATAGGGCCTAATGTGTTTTTAAGATCGCCTTTGACTATTGACAAGATTAATAGTACATGACATGCAGAATGTGAAAATTATATAATTGAAAGCTTCTTTCACACACGAATTTAACGATGTGCTTTGTGTAAGTTGCATGTCATATATTATTGCTCTAATATTTGGTCAAAGTTAGCCTCGAAAAACGCATTAGGCCCTATATAGATTGAAGGAGGGAGTAGAAACATAACATGTAGAAAAAATTCACTTGCTTCACCTGAGTCATTACAGTAGCTAGTGCGCTAATGGATCGGACCCCTTGTGGCGCCCCTGTGCGTGCCTCTCCTATCTGACGCAAAGAGTGTCAACTAGGAGGTCCCTCGAACCCTCGACATATGCCCAGCCTAAAAACCCAGCCCAAGGGGCCTTCCTAAACCTCTCATTTGTTTAGATTGTCTAAGTCGTCCCAACCGAGCCCATATGTCAGGCGGATACGATGTCGTCCAGACATGTCCACCACATAGGACCCGGCAAACCGACATCACCCTACTCCCACCAAATCGACCCGCAAGTTGTTCTTCTCCTCATGTGTATTGCCCATCCCGCGCCCTCCCAGTCATGCAGCACCCGGAGCGCTACCACGTCCCTGAACTTGTTCATCGTCCTAGACCCTACCCCCACTTGGAGCACCACCCCCGAGCACAGTCGCGACATCAGACGCCACCCTAGTACGTCCTAGTCCTCATGGATGTTGTCACTGTTAGGAACGTAGCACAACATGTACTTACATGCACGGTAACACTATGAAGATGCTAGAGGTAGATCATATAGTTATCAACAAATGCGGCCGAGAAGAGATGTTGGTGTAGACTTGTAGATTCCCGCAGCTAGGTTCAACATCTCGAGCCGTGAGACTACGATCCCTCTGCCAGTATCCATGCCAAGGAATCACTGATCAAGCATAGCTTGTTGTCTAGGACGAAGAAATGCCATAGACTAGGAGATGTGGCAGCCTTGCGGCAATGGTGGAAACTTGCAGAGATAGAGATGGAGAGGGCGCCACCAGATGGAATTGAGTGGTTGCCCCCTCTGCTATATATATAGACGCATGTGAGGAGGGACTCCCTCTCCCCTAGCTAGGGTCGGCCGCACCTGGGAGGGATGTGCCCCAAACCCTAGCCGCCGCCCCCTTTGCCTTCCCCAAGGCATGTGGGGTGTGCCACACTAATGGGCCCCTTGATGACCCACAAGTATAGGGGATCAATCATAGCCTTTTCGATAAATAAGAGTTCGAACCCAACGAGGAGCAGGAGGAATCGACAAGTAGTTTTCAGTAAAGTTTCATTGTAAATGATGTAAAGATAATTTAATAGATTGTTAACAACAAGATAATTCGTAACAACATAAATATTAACTAAAGCAATAGAGTGCAGCAAGTGACCCAATCCTTATGTATGCTAAGGACAAGCCGGTTCTGTTTCTTATAATAGCTAAAACGCTCTTGAGGATACACAGAAATTTCATCAAGTTACTTTCACCATGATTTATTAAGCTATTGTTTATTGATTTCGCAAGTGTTGTGTGGGTGGACCGGAGGTAAGGTATTGTTCTTACTTGAAAAAAAATACATACTTATGATTGTACCCTCCATGCAAACATGTAATTAACATAAATCTAACCATTGCATTAAACGATAAGATTCAAAACAGCCCCTCGCGGAATGATTTCATAAACCATGTTTTAGGTTTATATCACTCCCGCAACCCATCATCTACAAAAAAAATCTACAATGTCTTCCCATATGCCCTTTTGATGGTGAAGTGCCATGTAGTTGACGTTCACATAACATCACTAGAGGAAGAACAACACAACGTATCATCAAAACATTAAACGGTATTCAACTTCAAATGATTACTAGCAACAAAAATTCTCCCATGTCCTCAAGAACTAATGAATCTACTCACAAGACATCATATGGATCATGATCAATGGGTATAAATATGCAATGAACAATCTGAACATAACAACTAACATAACAATCTTTCACCGATAAATCTCCTATGCATCAATTACCGTACATGTTCTATTGGGCAAATCAAAGACCTAGAAACCCGTGCCCGACTATAAGGCAATAAGGCAATAAATGAAACAAACTATGACACTACTACTAAGATACTTTGCACTATGGGGGTAGTAACTTAGACTAGTGTCATGCATATGACACTAGTCTAAGTTACTCCCCACTATGACCAGCCTTATAAACCCATTCGAAGGGAGTATTAGTGATTCAAGATTCGTGTCTCAATTAATTCTTCATTGATGAGCCATTACTGATGACGAAAAATTATTATACGCACTATCAACAAAACCTCCAACCCAGATACACATGGCAGAACAGAACACACCCCGACACCAACTATAATTACTCACACTCATCATTTTAATGGATGCCTACATAAATAAGGATAATGCGTGTCTCTGCGAAATCAGTGTATGTGTCAACAAAACCTCCAACCCAGATAAACTCAAGAACAAACCCCAGACTAACCTGAGTCTGCCATCTCCATACGCAGCATGTCTCAAAATTTCACAAGAGAAGAGAAAAAGGCACTAACACCAATTGATAGAACAAATGATCCGGCTTCACCTTATAAAGGCACTCACTGGCACAGGCCAAGTTAGCTCTTCAGCTTCTTCCCTGTGAATGACCCTGGAGTTTGGATGCACAGTAAGACTGTCAAACAGGCATTTGCATCAGATCAACCACACTCAAAATCTGAACCAGAACTGAAGTCGCCCAATATATGCAAACATGGTAGAAAGACAAGTACGGAGTACTCTATAACGTAACTGAGAAATCTCATTGCATATTTACCTACAAAACCTTCAATCCAGATTAAGTGAATAAATAAACCTGGAACATGATACTGCTGTCTCCATCCATGGCGCAACTTAGAGAAGCGAAAAATAAATAAAAACGCACCAACACCAAACGACAGAACAATTATCAAACTTCACCATAATAACAACATTTGATGACAATAGGCCAAGTTCTTCAGTCTTCAGTTTCTTCATTGAGCATGGGATTGGAAAAAAAGTAAGACTATCCAGCATTCGCGCATCAGTATCAGAGGAGCCAGACTCCAAACCCCAGCCAGAAATTGACACGATATATAATGATCATAGAAGCAAACATAAAAGCTCCGGTATAACATTCACAAAAGCATGCTAAATACTATATTCCGAAATTATAATCTCAGGCAATAGAGTGACCATACACATAATGGTGGCAGAACATAACACACCAACTAAGACTGCAAGCACAACTAATTACATGATATGAAGCTAAAACTGTAAGCACAACTAGAGCAAGTTTGCGGCTATCATGTCTCACGAATTCATATGGATGATCAAATGACATCCTTTTTCCAACATCAGCTCTGCCACAGAATCTAATCACCATAAGCTGAATGTAGCTTCGCATTCCTGCAGAAAATCCAGGGCATTGAGACATATCAGAAGAATTCACCCAAGAAGCAAACAAAGAAAGTTTTAGATGGCAGAAGGTTAATTAAACTGTTTGGTTTAAACATTTCTTTATAACCAGTTAAGCACATCATCGTTGATCAAAACTTATAGGAGACATTTAGCATATTGTAACTGTGTATCACCTTATCAAGCACCTTCTTCAATAGAGTTCAAGAACGCTGGCGGCCACGCTATCGTGTAAGGATATATCAGCGCAGACGGGCAACTCTCATTCTCAGAGAGCTTGGTCATCTTCATAGTCTCAAGATGAATGCAGAACAGACAACTGCCATTGCGCAAGAACACAACACCGGCAGCCACCCCGATGACATCCAGTGTGAGATGGTAAAAGTGTTCCGAGCCAATCATCTCTGCAATCGCCCTGTGGAACCTCACCGACTTGTCCACCAGCGTCCACGCCAGGCCACCGGCACCGTCGTCCTCGCTGACCCAAACCTCGATGCAGAAGCCACGCATGGTGAGCACATGGAGCCCGCCGGCGCCGTCCTCCCCCTTCTCGATGACGTCGAAACTGAGCTCCCGCAGGAAAGGCGGGAGCGGCAGCACGGCGAGCTCTGTCGTCGCCGTGTTGAGCGCCAGCACGTGCTGTCCACCCACTAGCTTCCAGTACAGCGACCCGTTGGCCTGCATCGCCCGGGAGGCCGCGAGATTGGGCTGCTGCGCGAGGCCGCCCACGTCCGCCCACCGGAGGTCGGCGGAGGAGAGGAGGAAGGCGCGCAGGTCCGTGGTGTCGCCGACTCGGGAAATGCAGGCCGCCTTGAACACCGAATAGTCGCCGTCGTCGGTGACGAGGGCGTACCCCACGGGGTGGTCGCCGGGGAGCGCGGGGAGCGAGACCCAGCGCCGGGCCAACGGGTCGGCGACGGCGAGGTCCTGGGACGACCGGCTGCGCAGAAGGAGGCGGCCGTTGCGGCAGTCGAGGAGCTGCCAGGGGGTGCCGGCGCCGGCGGCGCCCGGCCGGCCGCGGCGGGGGATGAAGGAGAGCGCGAAGTCGCCGCGCTCGGCGACGCGGCGCGTGGCGGCGGCGGGGGGCGCGGGGAGCAGGCGCGGGGCGCTGTTCCCGCGGTGCTCGCCGGGGCGGTGGAGGTGGCAGCCGAGGAGGAGTGGGCAGGTGAAGGGGTGGCGGCGGCGGAAGCGGCGGAGGAAGGCGGCGCTGCGGGCGGCGCGGAGGAAGGGCCGGCAGGCGAGCGCGGCGCGGAGGAGGTCGGCGGGGCCCGGGAGCAGGACGAAGACCTCCTGCAGCAGGTCGTCGCCGAGGACGTCGACGGTGGAGGCGGCAGGCGGAGCCATGTGGCGCGACGCGGAGGGACGCCGCCTGGAACGGACGGGGGAAAGGGATGTTCCTTCCCCACTACGCGGTAGTTTCGGGCTGGGACCAGGCGGGTTGCTATATCAAAAAAAAAATCTGATTGCTGATTGGCACTTTGCAGTCTTGCAAATTGCAATATAACCGCTCGGGTCTCATTTACGCCCAGTTATGTTTGCTTAATTACGTAACGACTCTAAAATATATATACTCAGAAACAACCCTGTGACACGCATTTTTCAATTAAAAATTAAAAGGGGGTGAACTGCAAATGTTCAGGATTTCATCTAACTAGGTTTCCACGCAAAAAAAAAAGAGAGGGAATATCTGACTAGATTTACGGCACGGCAAAGGGTGAAGGGTTTGGCTGGTTTGATGTCCCGGTATGGAAAAGTTGGCAACCCAAACAATTCGGCCGGAATTGCTTTATTGCCTACGAACATTATTAGGAAGGCGGATTATTGTGTTTCTTTTTGGCAGCAAAGCGATCAGCACCTAAAGTGTTTCACCAATCTTTGACTTGGGAGCAGGCAGTGACCAATAAGTGGCAACCAATCACCGTCCTCTTGCCAAAGTTCCGTATCACAAAATTGTTGGATTAGGCCATCCACGACGCAAGATACTTTATTTATTTGGAATATATATGTCCCGCTCAGAAAGACGAGACGGCAGCGGCTCTTTGAAAATGGAATAAAGATCTTTTCACCCACTCCTCGTTCCGTTGATGCGTCTAGTATCGTCGGTGGGCGTGTGGAGGTGTGCCTCCGACAAATCTGTTTTTGATGGATTTGCTCGGATCTATTCGTCGTTCATCTATGTTCTTGTGTCTTCAAGTTGGATCCTTCTGATCTACATACTTCATCGACGGCGGTTGCTGTACTGGTGCGTTGGTTCTGTGGGGCCTTAGCACGATGACTTTCCGACTGTGTACTACAATAAGGTTTGCCCGGCTCCAGTGAGGAAGAGGCGATGATAGCAGCTTGCCTTCGACTCGCTTCAGTGCTTATACTCGTCGCTAAGTGGTCTACGGATTTAGATGTAATTTTATTATTTCTAGTAATCGTTGTAATACCATTGTTGAAGATGAATAAATCAAAAGTTTTTCTCGCAATATGTGTGTGTAAAGATCTATATTATATCAATAGAACACCAGATACAATGAGATATAGGTTAACTGAACACATAAAAATCCTAGCAAAAGAAACTAAACCCACATAAACGAAAACTACCCTAAACAAGGGGGGCAGGCTATGACTAGGACCAAATGCCTCTAAAATCTTGCCAAAGCCACAATAAAACGTGTCCTCATTGCACAACCGTGCTCACGGCAATAGTTGATAACATCAAGGAATCCAACCGCAAAGACGTTAGAGAAACAAGTCTAGTTCAATTGTCGTAAATAGTAGACCGCCACGAAACAAATCTCGTTGAATCGCCATAATAGTAGACCGATACGTCTTTAATGTATCTATAATTTTTTTATTATTCCATGCTATTATATTATCTGTTTTGGATGATAACGGACTTTATTTTACAATTTTATATTATTTTTGGGACTAACCTATTAATCGGAGGCCTAGCCCAAATTGCTGTTTTTTTGTCTATTTTAGTGTTTCGCAGAAAAGGAATATCAAACAGAATCCAAACGGAATGAAACTTTCGGGAGCGTTATTTTTGGAACAAACGTGATCCAAGAGACTTGGAGTGGACGTCAAGAAACAATCGAGGAGGCCACGAGGCAGGGGGCGCGCCCTCCACCCTCGTGAGCCCCTCGTTGCTCCACCGACCTACTTCTTTCTCATATATATATATATATATGTTTGCTCAGTTCCCGATCATTGTTTAGTTCTTCGTGCATCCCTATATCCTCTCGTTCCCAGTCATCCGATTTAAATCCTGCGTGTCTGCTCAATCGTAGGAATTTTTTGCACTAAGCCGCCCGCCTCCGGTCCTGTACGTCCGTAAGTTAATCATGCAGATTTGCAAGGGCACCCCTCAACAGACCAGACGTGCGAAACCCACGTTCCCGATCACCATGGCGGCGGCCTGCGGCTAGAGACGAAGAACTCTCGTACGCCCTAAACTTCCAGAAGACTGGATCCTGGGTGCAGGCGTACACATAAAGGTTAGTACAACATCCCAAATCCATCTCTTCTGCCCCTTGCCTTGCGGTGCCCTGTTCCTGCTGAAAGCAGATTGCTTTGCGTCAGGTCTTCAGGAGCATTATATTGGGAAAAACAATGCTCTGTATGAGGGAAAACAATGATCCAGTACTTATTATTGAGAAAAACAATGAACCAAATCACTTTTCAAAACTCAATTCTCGTTAACTTGATGCAAACATAGGTTTCTGTGGTGGATATGTTGTGATTGAACTTAATGGGATGCATGTGATGTAGCTCATATTTACTGTTCGAGATTATGCTAGTTTGGTAGTGAAAATTTATCCTGAATGAAACTCTTCTTGTTGACATCCATTCAAGTGCTGCCAAATTTTATAGTAAAGTTGGGAATCGCTATTCTAGATTTTACCTGCACATACATCTACATTGTCGAGGGTCTGTAACTTTGTACACTGATTGTCATTTGAATGACAGTGCCCAGGTCTGTCAGTTAGTGTTGGGGCTAAATCCATATTGGGTTGTATTTCTCTCAAAATGTGTGTTGGTTTTCTGGTTAGTTCTAAAGGCTTATCATGTACCTGTTGGTGCAGGTGCAGCAATGGGATCTACAAATATGTGGCAGATGCACATGAACGAGGAAGGATTTAATACACCCATAAAGAAAGCAAGTGTTCCTCTCTGTGTAAGTCAATTGCTGTTGCCGAACAACAGGCGTACTCATTTTACTTATTTGTACATGAAAGTGCTTATTAATTCATCCTTTATGTTCCAATGCTCGTCCTTTATACCTGAATGTGAAGATGATTTGAAGCCTAAAGTGGGGATGACATTTGAAGGATTGAAGGCCGTGGAGGAGTTCTACAAATCTTATGCACATCAATCTGGTTTTGGAGTTCGTATTGGGCAACAAAAGAAGTTAGAAAATGAGGTAGTTCGCACTAAACGATACATGTGTAATAGACAAGGATTCAAGTCTGAAAATGGTAACAAGATTGACGATCCATCAAAGAAGAGGCGTAAGAACACAGACATAAGGTGCGGTTGTGATGCACACATCTTTGTGAAGTTATGTGCTAATGATACCTACAAGATAGAATCATGGGTCAAGCACCACAACCATGGTCTTGTGTCACTGGATAAGCGTCATTTGATCAGATCAAATCGCCGAGTTAGCGAGAGGGCAAAGAACACATTGTACACATGCAGCAAAGCAAGCATATGCACCTGCCAGGCATACAGGCTCCTACACGTCAGCGAGGGTGGATTTGCGAATGCTGGATGCATGAAAAGGGACTTGCAAAACTACTACCGTGACCTCAGATTAAAAATTAGGAATGCAGATGCTCAAATGTTTGTGGCCCAGCTAGGTAGAAAGCAGGAAGTTAATTCAGCATTTTTCTATGATTTTGTTGTCAGTGCTGAAGGAAAGTTGATGTATGTGTTCTGGGCAGATGCCACAAGCAGGAAGAACTACAAACATTTCGGTAGTGTGGTGTCCTTTGATTCTACATATACTACTAATAAGTATGACATGATCTTTGCACCATTTACATGAGTTAATCATCATTTACAAAGTGTGTTCTTTGGTGCTGCGTTCTTACTAAATGAGAAGACCGAGTCATATGTCTGGTTGTTTGAGACCTTCCTGAAGGCAATGGGAGGTGTAGCGCCGACACTCATCATAACCGATGAAGCTACTAGCATTAAGAATGGAATTGATGAAGTTTTTCCAACCTCAGTACACAGGCTGTGCATGCGGCATATAATGGAAAAACTTCCTGAGAAGCTTGGACCTACGATTAGAGAAGAATCTGAATTTTGGAAGAGGATGAATGCATGTGTATGGGGTTCAGAAACCGTGATCGAGTTTGAGTTAGAGTGGAATTCTATAATTTCAGAGTATGGGTTGGAGGATAATGAATGGTTGACAGGCATTCTTCGAACTACTTCAAGGTCTGAAAGTGCAAATTCATTCTTTAACCGATTCATTCATCGCAGGCTCACTTTTGTTGAGTTCTGGCTTAGGTTTGAAACGGCTTTAGAATGTCAACGTCAAGAGGAGTTGATTGCCGACAATTCAAGCATCCATAGGATCCCCCAACTAGTGACACCGTGGGCAATGGAGAAACAAGGTAGTCAAGTATTCACACATGAAGTGTTTGGGAAATTTCAGGAACAAGTTATTGCAGCAAGAGATCATTGTTGTGTTCAAGGAATTGCACAAGATGGGGGAATAAAAGTAGTGACCTTCAAAACGGGAGCCAGTAGGGTAAGGGAGGTCCGTTGTGACACGACAACCATGATAGCTAACTGTTCATGCAAGTTATATGAGTCACATGGAATCCCATGCCGCCATATTGTCCAAGTGATGCGAATTGAAAATCAAAAGGAGCTTCCAACCTTCTATATTATGGAAAGATGGAAGAAACAGTGTAAAAGGTATGAAAGTTATAAAAATCAATGCTCTTCTCTTTTTTAAATCATATGATTGACATACAGAAAATTGCAGTGAGAGTGTTTACGATGAGCAAGGGAACCTTCTAGAAGAAAATCCCACCGATTCCTTGGATGCAGCCGCAAGGAAGAAGATTTCAACAGTACGCAACAAGTTGGAAGATCTAATTCAAAGAGCCAAGCAATCAGATGAAGGCATGGACTTTTTAGTATCAAGTGTTCTAAGCATTGAGGAGCCTCTGAACCAAATGGTTCCCAATGCAGTCAAGCACACTAGGCAAGAGGAATATGAGGCGTTTATTGGTTGCAACATTCCTACTCAAGTTGACATACACCCGCCAAATGATGGCCATTCGGTAGGGAGATGTAAAAGAATAAAAAGAGCAAAGGAAATGAATGGGGAAAAA